GGGGGGGGGGGGGGGGGTGTTAGGCGCGCCGGATTAAATGAAGGGACCAAAACGAGGTACGCCGCATTTCTGCACTTAAGCCCGAACTACGCGAAAAATTTTTACGGTTTTAAGTGACTTCCCGATTCTTTTCAATTATAGTCTCTTGCTGGCAGATGACGACGTCTTCAACAACACGTTCATGCAGCCAACTCAAAACTGTCAAAAATCGAGATTATTACCGCAACTCTGCACTTTCACTATCAATATGGACATGCTCTGTAGAGAAAAATATAATGCAACTTTTGACCAAGATCTGAATAGGCTAATTTGGTTGAGAATTGTCGAAATCACAGAAGACAAGATGAAAATAAACTGCAGGATTTCTGGTGGTTTTTTTTTTTTTTTTTTTTTTTTTTTNTTTTTTTTTTTTTTTTTTTTTTTAGCGCCCGTTGGTGCAACATGCGTCACATTATATTGCATTGCATTGTTAATTCAAACATAAAAGCCGTATGGGGCTGTGGTACAGGTCAGCACAGAACAAAGACATTAAAGTGAAAAGGTAAAAAACTACACCAAGAGAACTGCGGATAATAAGAGAAAGTAAATGATGGATAGGAGGCTGGCGGACAGCTATTCAGTCCCCGAGAGGACACCATTTTAACCCACCAATAGCTCATTAATGGTGCAAAAGGCTTTAGATAGAAGGACCCTATGGTGGCAGTTTAGGATCATGGTTGATTCCCCTTCTCGAAAGAGAATTTCAATCTTCCTTGGGAAATTAGTGATTGTCATTTTTTTACTTTTGACTTGTTCTCCTTACAACTGCCGGAGCAATGGAACAGTAATACACCGATGACATCAACTTTCAGCCTCCTTTCTTACTCATTGTAAAAGTCAAGGGAAGCCTCTGGTACGAACCTACCCGTACTAGCATGTAGCTCAGTTACATCGCGCAGATTTTGGGTCGCATTTTGAGAGTTAAATGAAATTTTTATTTCTATTTTTTTAAGGAGGGGGGGGGGAAGGATCGGACAGCTTACTTTACTTACCCTTTTTAGTTCATGATCGTGAATTACGTATTTTTACTTTCTCGCTCCCCTAGGGTAGAGAGGAAGTATTGTCATCCTCCAAGAAAAAAAGAAAAAAAAGTTGAAATTTCATCATTTCTAGACGTTTTAAGGTCCCAGGAGTCAAAATAACCATACTTGAAAAAATGTGTGTCCGTCCGTCCGACGTCCCCCAAATCTGTGTACAGCGATATCTCAGAATCTATCTGTTCGATTTCATTCAAAATTCGCACAGAACACCATATCTATGGTCTCCTTATGCACGTCAAACGATTTTGGGGTACGCTAAAATTTGGGGGGCTAGGGCAAAAGGTCCATTTTTAGCAAAATGACACAGAAAGCTCATTTTGAAGGACTGTAAATTTTGAAAAATGCCTTTTATTCTTTAACAGTGGGCATCAAGCACATCACCTGAGTCATTAATAAGTTCCTAAAAGATCTTTGGACTAAACTCAAAATTCAAGGGATTATGAGGCCCAAAAGTAGGGCACTTTGCTCCACGACATCACACAAACAGCTCATTTTCAAGGACTGTAAATTTTAAAAAAAATGCCTTTAATTCTTCAAAAGTTGGCATAAGAGCACCACCCGGTTTATTTATTTAAGTTCCTAAGAGGTCTTTGGACTAAGCTAAAAATTGAAGGGTTACGCATCATATAGCGAGGAGAGCACTTTGGTCACACAGAGAGCTCATGGACTGTAGATTTTGAAAAAATGCCTTTAATTCTTTGAAAGTTGGCTCGAAAGCACCACCTGAGTCATTAATTTAAGTCATTAAATCTTTGGACTAATCTCATAATTGCAGAGGGGCCGATAGGAAACGCTCGATTCTCCGATAAGCGAGTCTGAACGCTCCTGGATATTAGCAGCAACTGCTTTGAGTCAGGTGAAACCTAGGAATTCAAATGCACTATATAATGCATCATATACTATCTCCAAAATTGCTCCGTAGGTATATACCGAGCAAAATTAGACAACTAATTAGGTACTTACATTACATACTATGAATCATAGAAGCTAACGCAAGAACTGACAGTTAGATCTTTATTAGAAACTAATATGTTTGTTGTTAATGAATTTAGAATCCCGGCAGATTCCATCTTTCGCGGTTCTTTTTTACGAGGTACTGAACACAAATATAATATATCAATACTGCACATACATGATTGATTTAATGATTGATAATAAAGCGCGTTATAACCCGTCCAGGTTTGTTGACGTTTTTGTTGTTTAAATACACGGGGATACGAGCAGCAAGGTGGTGGCGCTCTCTATTGTTGTCGTTTCGACTTACGGGGATACGCGCTAAGGAAGTGGCGCTCTCGGCGGGCGGGTGGTGAACCATTTCCAGCAGGGAGATTCGCCCGCCAAATTTAAAAATTTGGCGCCACTAAGCAAAAACCGTTTAGTTTTAAGACTATCTAAACATCAAATAGTCATTCTACCCATTAAAGTAGATTTTTAATGGCCTTTGCTTATTGCTATTGCTTAAGGAAAGATTATAATATATAATCGTATCTGAAGTATGATGTCAATGAATCTAATGGATCTTAATGAATCGTAGAAAAGCTAAGATTTTTACAAATCGCCGTCTTTAATAGGAGGCCTCATTAATCAATTACATATTTAATTGAAGATGCCTCATAATATCGACAAGTCGAGTCCGAATATGTGTATTCATCACATATCGCGAAGACATTTACAATAAAGTTCAGTGGTTTGAATAAAAATTTCATAAGTATTATCCTGCGATCAAAATTCCAATCAAACTTTGTGATTTTGTGAAATTGGCAGTATTTTTCTAAATATTCCAGTAAAAGTGTCTATGCCGGCGCGGAGCGCCGGCAAAAGCGAGAAAATCTTGTGCGATCCTCGCACCATGTTCGCCCCCCCCCACATGCCGGCACGAAGCGCCGGCACGCAGCGCTTGCGCCGCGCATAAATTAGCTGGAGGTCAATTTTTTTACCTGTACAGTACACCCTCCCTCGAATAGCATGAGACCATACCTTCCTGGTTAGTATAAGTAGGGAGAAAATGATGACTTTGCTCGATAAAAAATCCAACAGCGTTGCATGATGGTGCAGAAAATACAAATTAAATTGCAGTGTTGTATAGGGATTATTGCTCAATATGGCAACGCTGTAAAGTAAAAGTATTGCATGTTGCCCCTTCAATAATCGGGTTATGCAATCGTGTAATGTAGCCCCTTCAATCTGCGGTTTATGCAACGGTGTATTTTTCAAGATGGCGCAGCAGCGTTGCCGGACGGTGGACATAAATAAATGATTTAATTATTGGTGAAATTTTGCAAAATTGCATTTTACAGTGTTGCCAGATGGGGCGAGAAATTAGTTAATTTTTTCGATACAATGTTGCAAGATTGTGCAAAAAATTCGGATTTTCGGACTTGTAAAAATTTTCGGTTTTGGAAGACCGTATCTTACAGTATGGGCCTGGTATCGGATACTGTAGATTAGGGTCTGATTCGGGAAATTGAAAAATTTTCGGAAAATCACCCTCCTCCGATCCGTTGCGGATCGATGCGATTCTTTTCCACTTTCGAAGATCGGAAAACTGTACTGACCAAATTTTAATACGACTTTTCGTTTCCGAGATTTCGGACTTGTAAAAATTTTCGGTTTCGGAAAACCGTACCTAACAGTATGGGGCTGGTATCGGAGACTGGAGATCAGGGTCTGATTCGGTAATTTTCATTTTTTAGTAGTGTGCGCTTGGAAATGCGTACGGGAACCTTATGTTTTGCGATGAGCGACTGGGATTGGGTATTGCAATGTTCAGATTGATGAATCAATTTTTTTTTTTGGGGGGGTTATTTACAGTTACAGTTTAAAACAGTTCGCGTTGCATACTATTTATACGAAATCCTTACTATCGATCCAACTGTTGTGACTTGCATCCAGACCCAACCATTTGACAAAGGCCTGGTTTTTCTTGCGACGCAGAATTTTCTCCACCAGGAACGTATCCTTATAGTTGGTGGGTTGGAGTTCTTCGCGGTAGAATTTTCCTTTGATGATCGTATCGTGCGCGTCTTTCAGATCGTACGTGATCGGAACGGTCGGATTGACG